CTCGTGAGTGGAACCCGTGTTGCCAGTTGCCCAATGCCAGTGACATTATCAGTGCTCAACGCTTTCGACGTTGCCCCGTTCTCAAATCATGGCACGCGCTTTCCAATGCCTTTCCTGCGCAATCAGTCGGGGACGCCCGAGTCTTTGCAAGCATTCTTCTTGATGGAGCAACTGATCCTTGGAGAGAAGTCATGGTGGGCTCCCTACATTGCGACGTTGCCTACAGTGGAAGACATCACAGCGTTGCATTTTGAGGAGGAAGCGGATGTCATGTGGCTAGAGGGAACCAATCTCAAAGGCGGGGTCTCCACGCAAGATGCTAAATGGAGAGATATGTACTTGCGAGGCTCGGCCTTGTTGAGGAAACTGGGTTGGGCCAGTGCGCTGAACGGATCCTACACATGGTACGGCAGCACGAACCACTTCTTTCTGGGCCAGCACCACTTACGCAAGATTCAGGCCTCGCTTTCGTTGGGCAGCTACCATTTTTGGCAGCCGCTCTTTCACCTCACAGGTTCTTGATGCAACTCTTCCAGCTGATCTTGCGACAATCCACGGCGCGACCACCCAACACCGACAACAGCCTCACGACCTCGTCAAGCTCTTTGGTGACCGCTTCGCAGTTCTACTTCCACTTCTTGATCTCCTTAATCATAGGCCGGCAGCCCAGGTCGAATGGCAAGCCCATTATCATTTTGTCGGTCTACAGATCCTCGAGACTTATGAGTCGGGTCAGGAGCTTTGCAACAACTACGGTCCCCGGGATAACGAGGCTCTTCTTCTAGCATACGGCTTCACCATTCAAAACAACCCGTTCGACCATCTTGCTGTCAGCATCAAAGCGCCGCCTGGGTCGCTTTTGGACGTGGGCCTGCGAACATGGAAACAGGACGTCAGATCAGACACCGAAAAGAGATGTTTCATTTTCAACCACAAACATCCCAAGTCGACGTCAGCGCTAGCACTAGAGTTGTCCCTCTTCTCATTCGACTTGTTGGACAGCATCTCAATCTTGTGCGCTAACGACCGCGAAACTCAGAGCATGGTGATGAGGAATCAGTCGCTGATGAGCTACTGTCTGACCGATAAGCCCCATTTTGATGACCGTCGGATTGTATTGGCGACCCTGAGCCAACTCCTGAGAGAATGTATTGCGCGCGCGGAAAGGCTGAGAAACACAGACCCCCGTCACACTATTCCTGGTCTGGAACCCGCCAACTCGAAACAATGCAATGCCCAGGTCTACCGAGACAGTCAGCTGGAGATCGTCGAAACAGCAGTCGCCCTGTGCAATTTTGTGCTGAAATCTGCTATTAGTGGGGCGGGGGATGCCGAGCAAATGTTGACTGGCATGCAGGACCAAGTTTCGTCTTCTGCTCTGGAGAATTTGAAGCTTCTGAACGAAAAGCACGTTCGACTGACTCGACCACTTGAACTCCTCAGTCTGGATGGCTTGATTGAGATGATTCCCGATCCTGATTGTGCGCGAAAATGCTTAGCCAATTTGAGCCAACAGCTACATAGCAATGCGCATGGTAATGGGCCGACCGAAGTATCCAGATCAGCAAATTTCATCAAAAGTCGTCTTGCGGTCACTCTCTCGGCGCTGTACAGCGAATACGCCCACGGTGTCAAACTCCCACACAGAGTCACTGAATGGGTCAAACAGCTAGTTAAATGGTATCCACCGGATAACGAGTCATGGGCATATGTCCCGCCTCCTGGGCCTTGGACACCCGGAGAAGAACCCCCAGCTGAACTGATGGACCTACTTGCTGCTCGCGCTGCTCTGTCTCCGATGATGGCAGTGGAGTCGAATGTCAAACGATGGCTGAGACCAGAGAGGATATGCTGGGGATGGAATGTCATGGAGGAAGAGAAGGTGACTGTTCCTGCGTATCTTACAGAGGGAGATTCCAGTGGACCAAGAGATGGCAGTTCTCTGTTGATTTATTGGCAGCGGTACTAGGGACCCCTGCCCAAGCGTCAATGGGCTTCTCCTGTCCTGGATTCTGAAGGGGTCTCGGGTTTTCCAAAAAGCACTCGACTATTTTTCTGGGATGACTCGGGCGTTCCTCGCATGACTCGGGATTGTTATTTTGTTGGAACTTTGGCAGTTTGTACGAACGAAGCTTTGCACCAGGGACGTAGGCATTCATCAGCGATTTCTGGAGTAGATACGCAGTAATAGTCTTGATACTGACAATGCTTACTTTGCCAGTTATTTAATAGTAGCGAGGTAGCTCGGTAGATGGCAAATTCCGGAAAGCCGAAGTATTGCCGTGCACAAGGCATCTATAACGAGCAAGACTATGTACCCAAAGCTCCCGGCCAATCAGAGGAGCTCAATATCGAAGACCTCGACATTGATTTCGTCGTTGACGCTTCGCCTCGCCTCTACTCTCTCCTCGTCACGACGTCCTTTCCACCACCTCCTCCCTCCCACCACACACTCGTTCGAGTGTTTCCACGTCCTCATATCTCCCTGAAAATGATCGTTCGGTCGTCTGCCGCGAGAAACGTGGCCCGCGCGGCCTCCAACACAGCTTCACGGTCAGCCAACTCCTCAATCGCCGCCACCAGCTCCTCCACCTTCCAATCCCGCCGATCCTACGCCACCGTCCAAGACGGACAACCTCAACAGAGACGCTATGGCGGCCTGAAGGACCAGGATCGGATATTTCAAAACCTCTACGGTCACCATGGCACAGATCTCAAGAGCGCAATGAAATATGGCGACTGGTACAAGACTAAGGAGATCCTGCTGAAGGGCCATGACTGGTTGATCAACGAGATTAAGGCTTCAGGTTTAAGAGGAAGAGGCGGAGCGGGATTTCCGAGCGGGTTGAAATTTGTACGTTTTCTTCGCACAGACCAAGAGGAGCGACGGGGTGCTAACCCGGGGATGATAGTCATTCATGAACTTCAAAGGCTGGGAAAACGACAAGAAACCGCGCTACCTGGTCGTTAACGCCGACGAAGGCGAGCCGGGAACCTGCAAAGATCGAGAGATCATGCGCAAGGATCCGCACAAACTCGTCGAGGGATGCTTGGTCGTTGGTCGTGCCATGAACGCCACCGCAGCCTACATCTACATCCGCGGCGAATTCTACCACGAAGCCACTGTTCTCCAGCGTGCCATTCAAGAAGCGTATAAAGAAGGGTTGATCGGCAAGAATGCCTGCGGCTCAGGATATGACTTTGACGTGTACCTGCACCGAGGCATGGGTGCATATGTCTGCGGAGAAGAGACCTCACTGATCGAATCACTCGAAGGAAAAGCTGGAAAGCCTCGTCTCAAGCCTCCTTTCCCTGCTGCAGTTGGCCTTTTCGGGTGCCCCTCGACCGTCACTAATGTCGAAACAGTGGCAGTGTGCCCCACCATCGTTCGACGGGGCGCCAAATGGTTCGCCAGCTTCGGCCGCGAGCGCAACCAGGGCACAAAACTGTTCTGTATATCTGGACACGTCAACAACCCATGTACCGTCGAAGAAGAAATGTCCATTCCTCTCCGGGAATTGATTGAGAAACACTGTGGCGGTGTCCGCGGCGGTTGGGATAACTTGCAAGCCATCATTCCTGGTGGGTCGTCGACACCCATTCTGCCCAAGCATGTCTGCGACGACCAATTGATGGACTTTGATGCATTGAAGGATAGTCAATCTGGCTTGGGCACCGCGGCTGTGATCGTAATGGATAAGTCTGCCGATGTGGTAAGGATGATTGCCAGATTGAGCGCTTTCTACAAACATGAGAGTTGTGGGCAGTGCACGCCTTGTCGAGAAGGAAGTGCATGGACAGCGAAGATCATGGAGAGATTTGAAAAGGGTCAGGCAAGAGCGAGAGAGATTGATATGATGCAAGAACTCACCAAGCAAGTTGAGGGGCACAGTATTTGCGGTAAGTCTTTTGTGTCCTCAACCTAGTCCTGCTGCCGGTTCAGCATGAACACGGACACTAATTACTCTGTTCCAGCCCTGGGCGAAGCTTTCGCATGGCCTATTCAAGGTCTTATCCGCCACTTCAGACCCCAGCTCGAGGCACGCATCAAGGAATACTCAAAGACCGCGGGTGGAGAGTCTTTGGCTGGTGGCTGGGAGCCTGACTCTGCGAAGAAAGGGCTGCTCATCGCGCCCGGGCAGTAAATTATGAAGGGACTTTGGGGAGAGGTGATTGCTAGGTGAAATCTTGCATGAAGTTTACTAGGTCGAGTTTCCGATACTGATATCAGAAGGTTTGATATCGGAGCAGCACAAGGCTGCGTGGCTCGAGCGTGTGGGCGTTTCCTGCGGTCGCGCCTGAGAGAGAAGACGTGCAATAAAATTGTATATATATTTCATTCCCAACTGTTCCTCTTCGTCTTCCTCCTGATTGCTGCCCGTGATGAAGTCCTGGGCCAAGCTCGCATCTCTCTCCTATGCTCCCTCTCATACTCCCTCTCTCTGCGCAGCCTCCTGAGGGCAAATCTGACGAAGGCCCCGTGCTGTCCCCTACTTCCTTTGCAAGCTAATTCGGAACGTTACGTTGCGTCTCTTCCTCCTGGTACGGAGTCGGTCATTCGGCCCGATTGACAACGACGAGGGCGGAAAAGATCTTTTCCGCCCGGCAATGCATCCTTGGGCTCCGGGCGGCCAACCTCTCATGGGATTTTTGTTGGTCCTAGGACCGATTTCTCGCCCTCGATGTCATCCGTCCATTGATATGATCCCTGCAAGCGGATGAACCGTATTCGAATGCTTGTCCAAATCCCAGCCGACGGCTTCTTCTAACAGACTCCAGGGTTTGTATCTAAGGTAGGTGAAAGGACCAATTGGATCTTGGTCATTGGAGCGATGCCATTTGATCCTCTTAGAGTTGTCTTTAAATGTTTTGGTGGCTGCGACTCTACTGTTCAATCAGCCATAGATCCTTTTGATGTCTGTTAACGGGACCATATCTCCTCTGATTTAGCGACGATAGCAAGGAGCCTCACATCTTCTCACAGCTGATTCAAGGCGGCCATGGGTTCGCGATTTATTCCTACGATCGCCTCCCAATCTCTAGGCCGAGCCCGGTACCACAGCCTGGACCATAAGCTCGAGCTGTGCCAGAAGTACGGATTCGAGGCCATTGAACTCTTCTTCGAGGACCTCGAGGCTGTCGCAAAGGCCTTGCCGGCTTCACATCCGGCGCTGCCACCGGGTACCTCCTTTGCCGATTCCACCGAACTGCAAGAAAGCCAACTTGCGGCGGCCGAGTATATCCACGACCTCTGTATCCGTCGCAGAGTGCAAATCATATGTCTCCAACCGTTCATGCACTACGAAGGTCGGCTGGACTCGGCGTTCCACGGGGAAGCTATCCAGGAGCTGCAATTTTGGATCAAGCTTGCTCGGCGACTAAGCACAGACCTGATCCAGATCCCATCCAGCTTCCTTCCTGCATCACAATGTTCAGGCAACCGGGGAAGAATCGTGGCGGACCTCAGACAAGCTGCAGAGATCGGTCTTCAAAACGATCCTCCCACCCGTTTCGCATACGAAGCCCTGGCTTGGGGAACGCATGTCGATACATGGGATGCTGCATGGTCAATTGTACTGGAAGTCGACAGACCAAATTTCGGAACTTGTATCGACGCGTTCAATCTTGCGGGTCGAATCTTTGCCGATCCCGCTTCACTATCGGGCTTGACTCGCACGGCCTGTGAAGACACCCAGAAGGCAATTTCGAAGTTACGGAGCGAGCTTCCGTTGGCGTTGGAGAAGGTGTTTTATGTCGAGGTGTGCGATGGCGAAAGGCTCGACGTTCCGTTGGGGCCTGGGCATGAGTGGTACGATCCTGAGCAACCGGTGCGGATGTCCTGGTCACGAAATGCCCGACTATTTCCCTTTGAGGGAGGGGGATACCTCCCCGCTTTAGACATTTTACAGGCTGTGTGCGACGCCGGCTATACAGGACACGTCTCGTTTGAGCTGTTCTCTCGGACGGCGAATCGGCCTGGCGGTGAGGTGGCCGAGCAGCACGCCAAAAGGGCAGCTGTGGCATGGAAGAAATTGGCAGAGTATATGGGCTGGAGCAAACAACAAGCTGGTATAGACTCGGAATTTCTGGGTGATCGTCGGTATGTGGGATTCCCGTGGCCTTAAATACTTCCGACACTGACCATGCTTCTCAGCATCAGCTTCTCTAGTGTCACCGACTCGCATTCGATTGTTTCTGGTGATTCTCCATGTTCAAGTCCCCGGCCTTAACAAAATATCCTTTCAAGAGGTGGATGGTTCTTTGTCCTGCATCATTTGCGATGCACAGATACGAGCTGGCAATGTGAACTTTTGCACGGAGGAGGACATTCGGCCTGAGGCAACAGCATCCCAAGGCCGTTGCATCTCTTTCAGATACCCCTTCTGCGATATAGAGATATATATGATATACATGCTTTCCTCTAGAGCGACGCATCGGGGACAAGGTTTCCAATCAAACGCCAGGCCTAGAATAGTCCAACCTCCTTACCCTCCTCCATACTTCCCTGACACATCTCTCCTGCCCTTGCCTCGCCGTCTCGCCCTCGGGACTATCACTGGCAGGCCGAATGGCAAGATACAGCCTCCCGCCCAGCTTTGCATCCTCGATCTTCGCCCCCTCGTAATCATCTGGCGGATTCGCCGTGGTGACCAGTCCCCCGGCCTCTCTCAATAGACAAATCCCCGCTGCGACGTCCCACTCCCAGCACCCGCCCTCCCACCAGATGTCAAAGCTGCCCATGGCTGTGTACGCGAGATCCATCGTCGCGCTGCCCAGGCTCCTCATGCCGTGAACCATGCCGCCTTTGCCGTCCCGGCCGCCGACTTCGGCAGCCATGCTGACGAAGCTGTCGACCTTGCGGTGCATGTTTCCCTGGGGCGTGTCCCTGCGATCCTTGCCCCATTCAAACGCAAAGATACATTTCGATGGCGCGGTCTTGGGGATCGGCCCGACGCCTCGGCGCCCCAGAAGAGGCAGTCTGGTCGTCTCGTTCAGCCAGGCGCCGCGCCCGCGACACGCAGAGAACAGCTGGTTTAGGAGAGGCGCGTACACGACGCCCACCAGGGGAACCTGCTTGACGACTAGGGCGATGCTCACGCAAAACATGACGAAGCCGTGCGTGAAGTTGACGGTGCCGTCCAGCGGGTCGACCACCCACGTCGGCTTGTCCGTTACGAGGTATTCCTTGGACGAGCCCTGGGAGTACATCTCCTCACCGACAAAGGCATGCGCCGGGTACTTGCGCGCTATGGACGAGTGGATAAATTCCTCGACGCGAGTGTCTGTCTCAGTCACAATGTCGACGGCGTTGAGCTTTTCCTGGATGACCAGCAGTTCTTCTCCCGGCCCGTCCTCGTTCTCATCCCGCCGTCTTTTGTGCAGACTATCCAGGAGGATGCGTCCCGCGTCTTTGCCCAGCTGGATGGCAAAGGCGTAAGTCTCGGCCAGTTCCTCGTCCGAGAGGGTGTACTCGCTTGTGTCTTCGGGCATGTTTGCTCGGAAGCGTGATGACTGACGAAACTTACGATTCTCACCTTTGTGTCTGTGTACTAGAACACGGGACTTTACGAACAAGTACCCGTCTACATGGCCGACGGAGTCCAGCGACGAAAAGTCGGTTATTCACGGTTTTCAATTCCCGACACCCCCTTACGATGATCATCATCATGACCATCATCATCGGATCCTCTTTCCCTTGCCCCTCTTCCTTCAACTCTCTCTCTCTCTCTCTCGCGGACGAGTTCTCTGCCGCCGCTGTGAGACGGGCTGTTCAACCCTCTTCCGCTTCCGCTTCCGTTCCCACTTTCTCGCAATGTAACGCACCGGACTACGGGTTCTTCTTCGCCCATTCGTGAACACATACATGGAAAGGACAAAGCTTCCTCTTCACATGCGTATGTGCTCGACCACTACTGCTCGTAGATACGTCCATACATGCTATGAAGAATGTGGTTCTGTCGTGCCATCTTGAATGAGGACTCCGACTCTCTTGCTCTTCTTCGTTTCTTCGGGTGAACCTCCTTCACGAGATCCTTGAGAGCGATAGAGACATGGTCAAAACGCCCGGCCTGAGAGATTGATACCTGCCTCCATCCTTCTCACGGTTTTGCGAACTGAACTGAACTGAACTGAACTGAGTCCCAACTTCCTCGTCATCATCGAGCGACGAGGTCTTTCGCAAGTCCCTCGTCCAAAAGCAGAGTCGAGATATTACACATATCACCCATCTTTTATCTCGTTAACTAGAAAGCAATACATCTCGAATCCCAACAAATTACGTCGCACTCCCCAAGTAATCATGTCTGGCCCCTCTTCCTCCCCTCCACGGCCGAGGAGGAAACTCCTTCTGATCAACGGACCCAACCTCAACCTCCTGGGCACGCGGGAGCCGCAGATCTACGGCTCAACGACGCTGGCCGATGTCGTCTCCGCGGCCGTCTCGCGGGGCAAGGAGCGCGACATCGAGGTGGTTCCCTTCCAGTCGAACCACGAGGGTATGATTGTCGATTTTATCCAGTCTCATTTCATCCCGCCGCCACAGGCACAATCATCACTGTCTGCAACCGCCATAAATGAGACCGCCAACAACAAGGATGCAAGCACGAGCTCGCCCGAGGATTGGACGACGCCTCCCAGGACAGGCGTAGTCATCAACCCCGCAGCCTTCACGCACACCAGCGTCGCGATCCGGGACGCCCTACTCGCGACGTCGCTGCCCTTTGTGGAAGTGCACATCTCCAACATCCACGCCCGCGAGCCCTGGCGCAGCCACTCGTACTTCTCGGACAAGGCCGTCGGCGTCGTCATGGGGCTCGGCGCGTACGGGTACCAGGCGGCCTTGGAGTTTTGGGCGCAGCGGTGGGATAAGGAGGACGAGGAGGAGAATAAGAGAAGATTGGGATGAGGACTAAGACGGGGGTTAGAATGAGGATAAGGATGAGGATGCGATGGGAATGAGATGATGATGATAAGAATTGGGATGAGAATGAGGATGAGGACCCCAAGGAAGGGGAAGAACTATATAGAGATTCTATTCAGGTCGCGAGGAAAACTTTGTACCATGGTTACTATAATGATGATTGAGGATCTGCCTAAAGAAAAACCAGGGGGACGGGGAACGTTAGAGATCGGGAGGGTTGAACTTGTGGAGTGTCGACAGAGGTGGGCGAGGCCGGCTACGGTCTACCGATATACATGGAGAGGGAGCAACTCATGAAGAGGTTAGACATGTCTTTCTGATAGCGCAAAAACAGCTTACAATACCTTGGACGAGAGCACTGTGCATCCATATCGACATGGTACATCTAGGGATATCGCCAGGCGAATCGAGGTACATATCCCCGTTTTCCTTACGTCGGTCGTATTGCGGCCCCAATCTGTTAGTTGCGTGCTCATCTGTTCTGGACCAAAAAAAAAAAAAAATAAAGAAATGAGAAAAGACAAATCTTTCTATCTCAAACAATAGAGGATATGCACAGGTAGGCTTTCACCCACAAATTCATTTACCGCAAGCTTTGGAACGGGTTACACCATCCCTAGAACCAGTCTCCTTTTCCGGCTCTGTTCTAGGAGTGACAGAACATCTGCGTCATTTCCATTTTACACCTTCTCGACAGCGACCTCGCGTTCTTCCACAGACTCTTTGTCACCACCAATACTCTGCCGTCTGAACTCCTGATCCTCCATGCGAATCTGGCCGAGGACAATCTTGTGTGCGCGTCTCGCGGGGTATTCTGTGCTGAAGAGCCGATCCATGGCCTCGAGCGGAATGCCCTTTGTTTCCGGAACTAGGAAGAAGACGTAGACTGCGGCGAAGAGCATGAGAGAGGCGAAGAACATGTACACGCCGTAGGACATCGAGGCGAACATTTGGGGGGTGAAGCTTTATCACGGAAAGTTAGCCGGTTTCCCTTTGCGACGACTTGAGTGATGAGAACTTACCGAGCAATGATGAAGTTCCAGAACCAATTGTTTGCAGCGGCAAAGGCTTGAGCGAGCGTTCGCACATTCTGATCGAACATCTCCGAGTTCAACACCCACGGGACCCCATTCCACGACGGCGAATACACAATGGTCCATAAATAGAAGAATGCCATAGCTGAAATGCCACCCGACGAGAGCGTGTCGCTTGGATGGTCTGCAGGTTTTGCAACCGCGATGTAACCTGCGATATACCACATGCAGAGAGAGCCCGCGACGCCGCCGTACATGAGAAGGGCGCGGCGGCCCAATTTGTCAATCAGCAAGAAGAGCCAAAACAGAGTAACGACTGTCTTGATGACGCCGAAGATGCCAGTAGTCAGGAGAGAGGTGTTGGTCCCGGTAATCCCAATCGACGCAAATATCGTGGGAGAATAATAATTGATCGCGTTGATTCCCGAACCGTTCTGCCACAGGAAGAGGGAACCACCAAGCAGGAAGCGATAAGTGACCTTGCGGTCTGTGAGGACGGCTCGGAATGGCTGCCAGAAGCCCAAACCGACAGTAGAGCGTTGGTGCTCGATAGCGTTGTCGATAGCGAAAATTTCTTCTTGCATATAGATGTGATCGGCCGGAAGCTTTCGTAGCCAGCATAAGTTCTTGATTCCTTCTTCACGGCGTCCGCGGGAGAAGAGCCATCTGGGCGATTCTTTAATGACCCATGCGCCCAAGAACAGGAGACCAGCGGGGATAAGTTGTACGGCAAACGGAATGATCCATTGCTCATGGGAAGGTGCCATGGTCTCTGAGACGCCGTAGTTAATCCAGAATCCGACCAATCCTCCAATCTGCCATGCCATCTCATATAATCCAACCAGCCGGCCACGGATGGCAGGGGGGGCGACCTCCGAGCAATAGATCGGCGAGAGGTTTGACGCCCCTCCAACGCCCATCCCGGCGAGCACGCGGCCTCCATATATGAGGCCCAACCCACGGGCTCCATTGGCTCCTAGCATCATCCCGGCACCGAGAACGAAGACTGCAGCGCAGATGAGCAGTCCGGTCCTTCGTCCAAGGAAGTGACCAGCGGGATAGGCGAAGAAGGCGCCAAAAAAGGCACCTGCTTGATAGCAAGAAACAATGTTGGCCGAAAGGAGGTTGACTGCCGACTTGGAGAGATCGCCAAAGTGGAATTCGTCTTTGA